ATGGTAGAAGAGATTTGAGCAATAGTAAGTCCTCCATTGCAATTTTCAAGCTTCCCGTACATTCTTTACCAAATGTAGTGCTAAACGAAGAAACAAGGAAAAGCAAATTTTGATAATGTTCACTGATCAAGGTGGCCTTGTTACTTTTAACCTGGCTATTGTCATGGCGACGTATACTGGCGTGGATTATGTCTTTTTTAATGTAGATTAAGTTAAACTTTTCCAGCACTGGTGTTTCCCATGAATGTTTGCGATTCAGATGAATGACGGTTATACCATAACGAATTGCATCAAAAACCTTAGAAAAATCTCAACTTACCACTTACATCACAAATTCTTAAGCAGATAGCTGATACAAGTCATCAACTGTGTGATTCCTGCTTATGCCATCTTATAAATTCAAGATCTTTTTGAAAAGAATTAGATGTATCACAAAAATGTTAGGAAACTGGATAACAGAAATTGGTAATTTAATTGTAACTGACCCTCACTGGAATAGCAATGCTGTTGGTTGCTACCTATGAGTTATCGTATGTTCGTTTGCCACAATTTCCTTTTGAAGGCATCTGCTGGTTTAAGAATGGCCTATGTTTCATCGTTCGACGTGGGCGATACCACATTTTCTTCGCCAAAGAAAACTATCGATGGGAAATACGCCATAAATTGATTGTAAACCAATGGTTCGAAGCCACTGTCACCTGGAAACCTCAAGAGGGTCTAAAATTTTATGTCAACGGCAATCTGGTAGCATCACATAAGAATCCAATACAAATGAGCGTTTCCCCTGACCATGAACCGTTCAAGCTTCTCATAGCTTCAAAGGAGAATGGAGGTGGGTGGAGCAGAGCGACTTCTATTGATGATGTCGCGGTTTGGGGAATGGCGATGACCAAAGAGCAAATTAAACGCAAGTCTGAAGGTTTGTTTATAGTTTTCACAACCGCAAGCTTTCATTGAACGTATTCCCTCCTTTTCAAAACTCTTATCTGCCAATTGTCAGGGAGACCAATCAGTTCAGGAAAAATGTATTAGTATTGGCAGTTTGTCAAAGAAAACTTAAAGGTTTCTTACAGACTGATATTCCATGGGTAGAAGGTCTCATACTACCTAGGAAGAGTATAGAGTGCTTTTGGATCGAGTCCCATAACAAGAACTAGATAAAGTAAAAACGTGCACACTGTTTCGAGCGAGAGAATGGAAATGGAAATATCATGATCGGCTTAAGTTTTTCTGCTAAAACCTACTAAGTATGTTAAATTAAATAGCTGTCTTCTTGCTGTTCAATCTACTCTTGATACCATAATTCTACTGTTCCTAGTTCATTTCGACTTTGACGATAACTCTAGAGACTGGAAATCTTTAATAGATGGCACCAGTGCCTGGACACTACATCAAGGATGCACTAAAACGTCAGGTATTGGGCTATGCCACGATGTTTCTAGAGGAGGTATCATGAACACTTGCTTGTTTCTTTGTCTTTGCTTGTTTATTGTTGCTGTTGTTGTCGTTTTTGTTTCAGATAATTTCCTGCTTTACCTGTTTACGTTTTTCCACTCCTCCACTAAACCTCGCGGTTTTCGATTGTGCTTCGTTTAACTAGCTTGGAACGGGCCATATTTTACCGTGCATCGAAGCATTGAATGGCTTGCGTTTGGAGGGATTTTAAACTATAAAGCCTCCAAACTGATGCACAAATTTATCTTGAACCTCAGTTAACTTTATTTTGTTTCAAACGGTCAATACCAGGATAGTCAGGGAGGCAACGTCTTGACTGTCACAGGGAAACAAAATAAGGGCTCACTTTCTTTACCATGAAAAATGTAAAATTTGCATAACAGAATGAAGCAAAAAAACAACGACAGATTTCGCTCGGTGCGAGCTGTCTCTTCATGAGGATCAATCGGTACCATATAATTGACTTCGTTCAGTGTGTTACAACTGGTTTCTTTGTTTATTTGTTGTCTACAGGTCGCTATATTTATTTTGATGCCTCGCAGTCTAAAGGAAAAGCCAGGTTTTCTACTCCCTACAGTATCCACTCTCATACGTGTCTGAAATTTCATTATCATATGACTGGTATGCATATGGGGAGGCTAAATGTTTATACGACAGATATCAGGGGTAAAGAACAATTGCTGTGGAGGCTCTTTGGAGAACAGGACAATATATGGAGAGAGGCCAGTATCCCAGTCAACGGTATTCATCAACAATATCAGGTACATTTTTTCGATTGTTACACTATGAAAGTGTTAACCACTGACCAATTAGGCCTTAGCTCCATTTTGGCCATTGCTTTTACCTGTTTAGAAAGCAGTTAAGATACTACACGTACTCTCATTGGTCGATAGTGGCGTTTAGATGAGAGCATTTGAATGCGGTTGATAGGTTTTTTAGATAAATTTCTCATAAAAACGAGTGACAGGACTTTTCCTGTAGACCATTTGCCCAGACGAAGGGCTAACGCTCTAAACATCCAAACGTCAACTTTAAAAAATTTTCCGGTGGCCAAATTATATTTTCCTGTCTAGCTTCACTGAAACACAAGGGGTGTTGAGAGACTTCGAGAAAGTACTACTAGCCCACGACTGCCCATTGAGTTCGCAAAATTGTCCAGAAGTCTCCCAAATTTTGTGAGTCTAACATAAGCCGACCTGAATATAGATATTTCAACAAGTGCGTATATTCCGTCTTAGGTCATTTTTGAAGCGGTTGGTGGTCCAGATCACTTAGGAGATTTAGCAATAGATCAGATTGTGTTTACCAGAGAGTCGTGTGTCTTCTCGCCTTTTTCAGCAATGCCCCAGAATTCGTATCGCTCAGGAGTGAGTAAGTCACGTGTTGCTCCATTTTTACTGCATTTCTGATGTTTGCATCGTCTTATTTAGTGAGATTATGTTCCGGGAACGAAGAACCTCCTAAAAGTTGACTTTCTCCTAACAAGTGGTAGCTCGGTTAATAGTAGCGCCCGAGTATTATCTTTAAGACTTGGTTCGAATCCCTCAAAGCCTGAATTTCCTCAGGCTTTTCTCTTGCAATTCCTTCTATCGCTGCTCTTCAGTGAGGTTACTCTTTATCCTCTCTTTGTTTTTTTCTGTTCCATGGAAAATTCAAGATATTTTTCATGTGAGAGTCAGCCTTCTAAACTAGAACTTCTTTTCCAAAGCGAAACTACTGAATCCCTGAAATAATGTATACTCAAGAACCCATGGCAGCTTATACAAAATTGTATGTAGGCTTGTCATGAAAAGAAATAAAAATGGCCTAAGAATTCTGGCGTCTTTAACACACTTTTACTGTTCTCGTGACTTCATTTTTCGTAGTTATCACCTCCTCTATAGTTTCAATGGACACTATTTACCATCAATATCTTGGTTTGATGGTGGAAGAAGAAGGTTATGGCTCTTCCCGTTGGATTCCTTGTTATCGCGCTCTTGATAATGGCTGGAACGTTTCTACCTTTCACAGGCTCTGTGACGATAAAAGGTCCTACCATGACCATAATCAGAAAAAAAAAATAACGTGTTTGGGGGCTTTACTGAACGAAGATGGAGTGAAGGTACTTCATGATTTTTTTTTTTTTTTGGCCCTCTTTTAAAATAGTAATTGTTGAATCATTTTTTAGATCCATTAAAAATACACCAAAAAAGCACCCAAAGAAGCTAATGTAGCTTAAAATGCTGTATGAGACCACTGAGCCTATAAGACCTTCAGGCTGTCAGCCTGTGCCCTCACTGCCAGAGAACTACTCCCATTTCCAATTTCTAGGGGGAGGTTATGAGCACTGTTATTCCCCTTGGATGGGATGCAAGTCCCGCGTAACCTCCCAGCATTTATCCACTCCTTGGTGGAGAGAGATACTAATGGAATAAACTAAATGACCGCTAAATGACCGCCATTAAACTCTCGCGTTGCAATGTTGTACTCTATTATTGTGGTGTCATTGTAACAAAATGTGTTTACGTTATGAATTTTCAGGCCAGGAAAATGACCACTCCAGTTACGATTTCCATTTTTGGCGCAAAAACGTTGCGGACTGTGTCAAAACCGCTATACTACCTCTCACGTCATCGTCAATTTATAGTTTCACAGCCTCGTTTTGGATTAAAACCTCAGTTAAGTCACCATTAATAGTGTTCTCTATTAAGCAAACAGGCAGCCGCATGCATTTAAAACTGGATTCTACCGACTCATTCACTCTTTGTTGGATCAGTCCCTTTAATGAATGCAAGTAAGTTGAAATTCCCTCATTATTTTGTTCAAGACTAAAGGAAGATCAGATGAGTAACGCATTAGCTGACGACATGAAAAGACGGCTATGAAAGAGACTGAACTTACTGTTTGTTGGTTGTTGTTTGTTTTTGGATAACGTGACATGGCGGATTGTCCGAATTGTAGCAGCGACAGGGTCATATATTGTGTCGTAGCTCTTGAGTTTGAGACATCACTCTCTCAATGATTTCCTACACTCAAGGGTATTAATAGGTACCAGTGAGTTGCCAGAGAAACCCAGCTAAATGTTGTTTAGTTGTGGTCTAACAACAGGGAAGGGAGAGTAGAAATATTTCTGGCTTCTGTATGTATGCAAACTGGGATAAACGGCGACAGCTACGTATGTTGCTGTTTTGTGCCGACAAAAAATTTTAGCTGTTCTCTCATGAAAAAAGTTTCAGAATACGTCAATTATATGCCACAATTTCTACGTTACGCGGGCGTGCGATATCGTTTTTTTTTTCCTTTCCACATGAAGCCTTGCGTTTGACTTGCATCTATCTCATTTTTCACTCCTTTTTTGCAGTACCAACAAAGGCAGCATCTCCTTTGTGATTAACGATGGCTCTTGGCATCATATCACGGTTGTATGGCATGGCAGTTCAAAATCGTGGACGTTATTCTCAGATGGTGTGAACCGAGGAAGACAAACTAAAAACAATTGGAAAGAATCCCTTGTGTTAAGCTCGGCTACTCTATTTATCGGAAGGAAGCCGAACAAAGATTCATCCATGCTATTTTCTGGCAGAATTACTCAGTTTAACATGTGGGACCATGAGTTGGAGGAAGAAAAAATCACAATGTTAGCACGCGGTTGTAAAAGTGAACCGGGGAATAATATCCAGTGGAGCAACCTTAGGAGCAAAGTTGAGGGAGAGCTGAGGATTGTGGAGCCGTCTTCGTGTACGTATTCAGGATCCTATTCGCACCTTGCGCTGTTAACCAGTTTTACTGTGCCCCTTTGCTATTTCTCATAAACAGCCATTTCTACCAGCTACAACTCCAGGATGATCCATTTTTACCCCTAAAAGATATCACATTCAATATTGTTCCCTCGAGAAGCTTCTACCAATAGATAATTTCAACTAATCAGCCATTATCCTTAATCCTTTCATTAAAACTGTTGGTTCCCTTTGACAGTAATCCCTGTATTATATAAGATTTCTCTCCCCTAAACATGGAATCCCTTCGGGTGGGCCACCCTGGGATATTCTGTCAAAGTAAGTTGCCTGAGGTTGCTACGATCTTTTTGAAGTAACCGACAAACCTCATCTACATGATTTGTAAACAACTATTCCATTTATAGGAAACATTTTAGTATTTCCCCGAAATTCAAAAACTCTGATAAGCAGGATACTTTTGTTTTTCGCCTTTTTCCCGTAATGGCATTGACATACATACTCCCAAGTACTGTTGTACATATACTTTCATACTAAGTAATGGTATTTCATTGATCCTTTAATGAAACTCTTTCTCGCTCGAAGGGGTAGAGTAAGAATTTGATTCCAAAAGTTCAGGAAACCTCCAAGCTTAGGGGAAAAAGATGAAATTAGCGTAACAGTAAACGGCCTTTTCCCATAAATCCATATGGCGCAATGTTCACGCCTTTGTAGGCCAGCAAAAGTCGGACAGCTGTAGGGTTAAGGCACATATCAATCTCCGTGTACAGGTTCGTCCTCGAACTACAGAACGGACACCAAAGCGTTCATCTTCTTATTAAACTACACATCTGATAGGACCCTCAAAAAAAAAAAAAAAGTAAGCGAAGAATCATCGGCCTTTGCAATCTACAGCTCACCGTTCACTGGTCCAACCTTCGGAGAGTCTCCGTTTGATTTTCAGATAGGAATCGATGGCGACATGAAGCAAGGGACGAGTCAACACGCTGTTTCTTACAAAGGAGATGGAAACTTTAAGGGATCCAAACTGGAAACTCTGCTTGCTGGGGCGTCAAAGTTTAATGTTAACGATGTGGAGGTGTTATTTAGAGCTCAGGGAGGTAGGATTTCTGATGGATTTTGATTCCGTCTTTTAAACTGCTAATGATTGATCATGACATAATTACATAGGGAGCACATGCATAATAGTTCTTCACTGGTGCCGACATGTACTCTGAGAGCAGACTGAGATTAATGATATTGCCAGTTTGTTCTATAATGCCCCGATTTAAAAATTTTAGGCCTGATTTTTCTCCATGGGTTCAAGCTAACAACATGTTTTCTTGAGCTACCCACATTTCAAACTTTCCTTCAACATTGCATTGCGCACTTTTTCGTCCAACAAAAGGGAAATATTTTTCTTACTAAGTCAGACGTGTAAATCAATTGAGACCAGGTATGCTACGATAATTTAGTTTACCGAGCCTTCGCCGATCTACGACATCATCAGGGAATGTAGATGAAAGTGAAGAGTATATTGGGTGAGGTGTTAGGCTAGATAATAGGGATTCAGCAGACAACAGGACAGGACAATGGCAGGTGTATGTGGAAAGAATAGATAATGGTAAGATTTTAACTAGTTCGTCAAGATAAGAGGAATATTGCCTCTTTGGTCACGAACGCGAGACAACAAAAACGAGGTTGTACTTTCTAGTAATTTATTATTCATGTAGTTTTTCATTATTTTTCTTAAAGCGTCCCTGTGCTCTGATTATTGTCCATTTTACCATTATTGTGACGAAATAACAGGCACTTGTAGATGTACAAACAAGAATCCTGAATTATGTCAACTCGGTAAGTAAGTGAGGTGGAATTAGAAATATTTATCGTATTCACAGTTTTACTTGTCAGAACTTTTTGGTTTTTTGGCTTTTCAATATGTTGTCGAGGCGAGAAAGGTTTGTTTACATGCATAAAATAGAACTGAGATTAGTGAAGATGAGAGTGATCATTACAATTACGAACACTACCTATGAAAAAAAGAATCCAGTCTTGCATTGCGTTGCCATTGTTGTTATTCGGAAACTTTTAATCATACATTATGCCTCTCTTTGTATGGAAGTTTGGTTTTTGTTTACAAATTCTTGGATAAACGATTTTTCATCCTAAGTTGATCATTAATGATAGCGCAAAAAAACCATATACCCTGCATCTGAAAATAAGCTTTGAGCTAACTTTTCGAAGGTTTAACGTCACGTGGAATGTTATTACCATCATATTTATCGTTTCTATGCATCGTTACTGAAATTGGTATTCAATTTATATTGACTTTTCAGTAAAGTTTTACGAGAATTCTTCCCATCTGTGGTTGCTTGAATCAGTGGAAGATATCAAAGATCTCCGCGCACCTGGCTGGGGGCAAATTAAGGGAGGAGTTAGTTTTTCTGGCGATGGCTTGGTGACAGATGGAGTCAACGGTGAGGTACTACTGAACCACGAGGGGGACAGTTGCGCAACAAAGTCTGCTCGTGCCAACTGTGATGATACTGGTTTCACCGTATCGTTGTCAATAAAGCCTTGGTACAAAACCGACGGAGCGCGACAGACTTTTTTCAAATCCCGCGGCAAGTTCGTTGTTTATCAGGAAAGAGGGAAGAAATCCTTGATTATCCGTGTGCAGGGTAGTGCTCAGTATTGTCTGAAAGAAATAGCGATGCCTGAAAAAATCTGGTCTCATTTGGCTTTCACGTACAAACCATCTGGGCCAAAAACACTTACAATTTATAGGAACGGGAAAAGAATCGATGAATTCGTAAGAGATGAAGGTTGTGAAATGGACGGGAAGCCAGGGTTTTCTTCGTCTAATATGTCATTGGGCTCTGACGGAGGAGTGTTCGCCAAGGCTCATTATTTTCTCATTGCCATTTGGAGACAGGTTTTGTCTGAAGAAAGAATAGCACAGATTTATCGCCGCATCCAAGGTGAGAGGATCTCTTTCTACCCCAATAAATACTCTATTTTATTTTCGATATTTCTTTATAATTTGTTTCTTTGTTTTATCTTGGTGCTCTCGAAGAATGCTGATTTTTTGTTTCGAAATAATATGAAATACTATGAATATTAATGGTCACAAGTGCTCGTCATGCGAGTAATCTGATAATAATTTTTACCTGAAAGCACCTGTGAGCAGCAGTGATAGCCGTGATCGGTGGTGGTGGTAGTGGTTAGTACATTGCGTTGTGGCCGCAATAACCCAGGTTCGAATCCTGGTCACGGCACTTCTTGTTTTTATATATAATACGATTATTATTTTCTGGTCTTTGTTTTCTATTAATTTTTTTTTTCATATATTTCAAGCTGCGGTTATGTCTTCCTTCGTTTTGATTTTTGATGTCATGTTTCTTAGTTCTGTCTTCGGTCTTTTCCATCTTTCTTCCCTGTACTGCTTTCAATTTTCGCTTGTGACATTGCATCAAAAACGAGAAAACCATGAAAAAATTAAAAGTTTATTTTCCTCTTCTTTTCCTAATTTCATTTTGATTTATGTAAATTTTTGTGCAGAAAAAAAAAAACATTAAATAGCATAACAAGGAAACTTTTTTTTTTCTTTGACTCTCTTTTTCTTAGCCCTGTGATACTTCGTTTTCTACTTACATTGTGGCTTTGGTGAACTGAGTCCTTTCATAACGAACCCTTTAATCCCAGGAATATTTCGAATAAAAGAAAATCAATAATATTCTGAATAAAAAGAAAAGAAAAAAGAGAGAAATAACACAACAATCATATGCTATCTTAATCGTTACTTTGTATGGATCCATAGAGGAAACATACTTTTTAAGCTTTTAAATTTGTGGAATGAGGCAGTTGGGACGAAAATTTGCCACCTCTATTCTGTCAGCTCGAAGTTTTCATTTTAGTAAACCAAAACATGGAAATAAATTCTTCCCTGTCTAGCCAATGCCCATTATTAGATTCCTAACCCAAATTTCACTGCAGATTTGGTTCCGCTACGTTGCCGAGTTGTGGCTCGAATAAAAAATCAGCCTTGGAATGAAGATCTTACCTCACCAGAAACGGATCCATACAGATCAATGAAGAATTACATCATAAGCAATGTGAGTTGAACTAAAAACCGCCCCATTCTAAATTAAAGAACCTCGTACCTCGTGAAAGTGTTGTTACTTAGCAACAATTTGTATGGTTATCTACTCGCGTTTATCAAAAGAATTTAAAGCTAATGCCATCTTGCACATGCCGCTTAGAAAACATTACGTTATGCATAAAAGTGCAACGCAGAAGCTTTCATTTGAATCGTCACACAATGCACGGTTTTCCTTTAATTCTAGTTAATTCCCTATTTTATTTGTTCATAGGTCACCAGGTTTTATGAGGGAGTCCGGGTTTCTGTTAACGTAAACGAATTTAGGTTCGTATGGCTTCTCTACACACACGTGTGCATGCTATTTACTTATTTGAATAGGTACAACTTTAAATTTTGGTTAGTAGAAGGAGGCTGCCGGCTAGGATAGGGTAAACAGGATTAATTCTGTACTCGAGCCAAGTGGCCCTCCAGGTTTCCCTCGCATGAAGCGGCTACTTGGAGCACTACTCCCACTTGGTTGGAATGCTAGTCCAATTTTTGGCGAATAGAAGGGGTCTGCCGGCCAGGATACTGATACTTTTATTTTTCCATGTAGGAACGGTAGCGTGATTGTAGATTTCACCATCGTTTATAACGTTAGCGACTACAGATGGATTGAAAAACTTAAACAGAGCATATCATCCACGGGTCTTCTGTACAACATGCCTCTGGAGCTGGAAGAACTTACAACTGAAAACGGTTAACAGTTGCATTAGTCAACTCAAAATTCTTGTAAAATTTTACTTTAGAGGTAGAAGGTCTAAGTGTGCTAATGTTTTAACGCCTTGGGGCTAACTTGCTCTATTTGCCGCCTCTTATGTCACGAAGCATAGCTTACATTGATATACATTTTGCGGCATTTTAAAATTACAGCTAATGAAAGTGCTTCAACAGACGAAATAAAAAGGAAAGAGATGACAACAGGCCATTGAGTATTAAAATAACAACTTATTGAACCAAGAAAATGCGAGCAACTTGCTAGCTTGCCATTGGCTATAATAGTGCATCCGATTGGATGAGATGGTAGAACGAGTGTTTTTGACCAATCCAAGAGCAGTTGAGAGAAACCGATGCAACACCAGCGACAATAGATTTAAAATAGTTCAAGTAACTACAATTTCAAATAATTTAACTCCGACAGCGATAGTTTGATGCAGAACATTATATCCTTTCGTCAAGACGATATCAATTATAAATCACTTTTCGAAAGCATGAAAGAAGTAGATATTGCAAAGAACAGTGTTCTAAAACTTTTGACTTGGATTACGCTGACTTTTTTCATGGAAAGTCCAATCAGGACCGGCACTCAATTCAACGTGGCAGAAATGTGAAGAAATTATAATCAGCGGTATCATTAGCTTTACATTTTCTTCCTTCAGTTCCAGAAGTTGCCCCTACAAATGTAAGCGTGTTTCTTGTGGAAGATACAAGCATTCACATCAGATGGAACAATCTTAGCCTCCCACCGAGTATTTCCGCCATATTCCAGGGCTATAAGGTTTTCATCAGACCAGCGGGAAGCGCAGACGTCATAGTTACCACCGTAAATGACCTCGTTAACTTCGTTACTATAGAAGGACTAGAACCATTGGTAACGTATAACCTAACTGTGGCTGGATACACACAGAGTGGAGTTGGAAGGGAAAGCGAGAGTCTTTCTGTAACCACCACTTTAGGTAGAGTAATAAGTATGGGGCTACGCTGTGCACGTTTGAGCTCTGCTATTAATCAAATTATCCTTTCCCAATTATCTTAAATCATTTGTTTCGCTATTTAGATTTCCTTTAACCGTTTGGCCCCTAAGAGTGACTGGCTTCAAATTTCTCCTTTCAATATCACCTTAGAATCAAATATAAGGAATAAGGGATGTGATCACAAATTTTAAAGAAGCTCCTGAGTGTCCAACAAATTTTCCCTGTCAAAACCAGAGGAAATGTAAATAGAACAGTGTGGAGAATATGAACACTAATACTACGGTGTAAAGGGTGAACGTGGGGAAGTTGTCGTTATTGTCCACTGTTCTTTATAAATGGTCTTCAAAGATGGCCCATGATCACCCTTGGTTGTAGTATTTCGATTCCTTCAGTATGAATGGTCTGAATGTTTCGTGTTCAGGGTGCTCTTTCAATGAACGAAAAAATGTGCTCTGCTCGATATAAAACTCAACATATCCCAAAATACACATGTACTTACCACTTTTTTATTTAATTCAAAATTCTTATTTCACAGACGATCCGCCTGAAAATGTATCAGTAGAACAAGGGAAATCAAATTGTGTTCACGTTCAGTGGGGCGGCCTTTCTCCTGAGAAATTTGCTGCATTTGATGGCTATCGTGTGTTCTATGCCTTGTTCAGCCACCCAACGTTTTCCTTGAACAAGACAGTAAATGCATCGACACATTGGGTGGAGATCTGTAATCTTGAATCGTCAATGAAGTATAAGTTTTATGTACAACGCATCCTACGAATAGATATGGGGAATGCGAGTGACGTTAAATACTTCACGACAGCGGGGCGTAAGTAAACCTGAACTGATCGTATGGGCAGCTCGAATTAGCTCTTTGCGCTACGAATTAGAATGTCAAAGCCCTGAATTACAAAACATTGCTACATTTTGTTTCCGCTTGCGTCAGTATAGTTAACAATCCTCCCTCAAACGCGCGTTCAATATGCGATGGTATATAGCCAGGTTCGTTCTCTTCCCCTCTCCCGGCCAACAAACTATATTTCTATGCTGGAAAATAAGATCCTGTCTCCCTCTCCCCTCCCTTACCTTGAGATTCATTCCCTACTCTTCCGAATGCCTTTAAAAAACATTGATGGGCGCATAGCATCCTTTTGTTAAATGATCTTTCCCTTAAATAATGCACGGGCGAATATCAAAGGCTGTTTTGAAATAATAAATAATTGACTCCTGAAACTTTTCTTACGCTTCAACTCATGAAATCCCTACTTGTACAGAATGTCAAAGGGAGCATCCCCTGGGGTTCTCTTTGTTAAAGATGGACACCAAGCTCATCAGCCGATAACAGCTACCTCTTTAATCAGGGCAGTTTTGATATACAACGGGGTTTTGATAAAATGAAGTAAAAAAACAGGAGCTCCTTAGAAAGAAATTCAATAGTAACGGAGAAGCGCAATTGTGAAAGAACGTGTATCAGTCATGGTAAAATAGGACATTCAAGCTTTTGGCTGACCTTCTAAAACCTCTAGAATTGAGTTGCTTCACGATAAGGCCCCATTGGTGCGAAGGGTAAGCTAATGTCATTCTCTAGTTTAATATATATCCAGTGCTAGTTTTTTAAAAAACTTATTTATAGATATCGTCATCTGCTTTTTGAAAAATTAGGCCCTGGTATCTATACATTCCCTTTTATAACTTTTCTTCCAGTAATGCGCTTTCCACCGACCGATGTGGTATGCCGCAATACCAGTTCCACTTCTATCGAGGTAAAGTGGGAGCCACCGTCTGTCGAAGTCAACAGCCTCGAAATTATTGGTTACGAGTTACATTTCAGGCCTCGCGGCCGTGTATCTGAGCTGTGGAGGACCTTCCGTACAAACAAAAGTATCTTGAATGCCACTGTAACATCATTGGAGAAATTTATGGAATACGACATCAGGGTGGCTACCTTCGACACAAATGAGCGCGGAAATTTTAGAAAAATTGTAAGGTGCTTTACGGATGAGGACGGTGAGTAAATATTTCATTGTTTTGCATACCGGTTCAAGTGACGCGTGTGTTGCTTTTTTATCTCCCTTTTTTTGTTCAGTTTATTTTGCCATTGATTATGTGCTGGTTTATTCACTTGTTTGCTTCGTCGCCCTTTGGCCGTTTTATTGCATATCATTTTTCTTCGTTCCTTCGTTCCTTCGTTCCTTCGTTCCTTCGTTCCTTCGTTCCTCCTTTAAAACTTGTTTATTTATTTCTTTCACCGTTTTTTTTTTCTTTCAGTTCCACTTGGTAGCCCTGATAACATTTCAGCTCAAAACACAAGCTCTACAAGTATAAAAATCAGTTGGAAACCAGTCTCCGAAACTTTACGTCTTGGAATAATCAACAAATATGTATTCAACATAACAAACTTATTGACAGGTGACCTAAGAACGATAGAATTTGATGGATCAAGCTTGAGCGGTGAAGTAAGAAATTTGTCCAAGTTTCAAGAATACAGCATCCAAGGAGCTGCAGTTAACAGTAAAGGCCAATCAAATTTCTCGAGTGCGATAACATGTCGCACGAGCGAAGATAGTAAGAGTGCTTCATTATTCAGAATCTACTTTAAGGAACCATACCCACTTGGTGACTAATGCGAAGAGAAAAAAAAATTCCCTCCCAACACAAAAAGAACAATGACCACCATGAAGACAGGAGGCTGAGCTCTCTAGCGTTAGAAATAACATAAAAAACAGTGGGGAGCAAGATATGATCAGTTTTACAAACCATAATCTTCCTCTGACGCCAGAAGTATTGCATTAATCTTAAATGTCCAAAAAAAGAACAAATTTGAATTTCTGACTTCTTTCTCTTTAAATTTCAAGCCCCAGACATCCCGCCGGCAAACGTGACCGGGTACAACATAAGTTCTACGTCAATTGCGGTCGAGTTCCAAATCTACTCTGCTGAGCAACTCAACGGAATCATCCGCCAATATGTCTTAAAGATTTTTAAAGCCAATGCAGTGAATTCTACCGTGCGAACAGAGTTCTTTCCCACTCAGACAAAGAGAAAACAAAGAGAAGTCTCCAACACTTATAGTGTCAGGGTAACACTGGAGGATTTGGAAGAATACACCATGTATTCCATGCAAGCAGCCTTTTTTACTATCAAAAAAGGACCATACAGTGCTGTTTTCAATGTCTCTACGGACGAAGGAGGTATGATTAACTATGATGAAAATGTACAGTAGCTGTCTCTTGCCGGTACAGTGACACCAATCGAATTATTGTCATTTATTTTATTACTTATCTATTCTTTACCATATGCATTCAATTTCCCAGTTCAAAGCTTTGATGGGTACTATCCTCTCAGACCCTTAGATCCCTTCGAGTGACAAGCAGCAATTTTCCTCTTACAATATGTAATAAAATAAATGACAACGAGAATCAGGGAAATGATCACCAACTAAAGATGTTCTTGATTGTCAAAATGTATAGAGAACAGTATGGACAATATGCATATCGATGTTAAGGTCCGTTTCTTGTTAACAAAAGTCTTCAAAATTAACCCAGCTGTTAAAACATCGTTACCATTCACTACGCTACGTGTTGTCCTCACGCCCTCAACTAATCAAGTAACAAAATAAAACCAACTACATCTTAGTCACCCACCTTTTCCTACGCTTCACGCAGTCAACTTGTTTTCGCTTATGTTCTCATTGCCTTCTTTTTATGGTGTTATCAGTTATTCTGAAATGCCCTTGTGTTTATTGTGTTTTTGGTTTGACGAACAAACTGAGCTCTGTATGAACGTGGAGTGGAGGCAAACGGCTCATCGTATAGTGAGGCAAGCATATTCCAACCTAATTTTATTCTCATGTTGTCGCAGTTCTTAAAGCTCCTCCCTATCGATTAACGGCATCCAATAGCAGTTCATCGAGCATTATGGTTCGATGGGAGCTTTTAACGCCAGCAAGTGTTCCTGGGATTTTACTGGGTTATGTGCTGCGGATAGAAAAAGCTGAAGATCCAGATACATCAAACTTCACAGTATTTAAAATCGACCCCTTAATCAACCAAAAGAACATGACAGAGTTAGAAGTTTATACACTGTACATTATATATGTAGCGGGATATACACGGAAAGGAAATGGTTCCTTTCGTGCGGCACAGAGCTGGACAGACGAGGGAGGTCAGTATAGTGCGACTCATAGATGAAATTGTTCGAATGACTGATCTGCTTATTATTGAACTGACAAATTACTGTCGTTTCACCTACAGTCCGTTTCGCCTACTATCTGTTCGCCTACGTCTAGAGCCGATTCGCCTACGTCCAATACGTCAGTTCGCCTACGTCCTTAACCCCGTACCATGACAATCATTGTATAAAACAGTTGATTCAATTGAAACAAAACTTGATGATATTCGAAAATTATCGCATGAAAATTTGATATCACAACAATGAATTCTTTAGCATAGGCCGCTCAAGTCGCAAGTCTGCACACATAACGCCTTAACTGTTCTCTACATTTTTAATTTATAAAGTCCCACCTCCTTTGGTATAGGTCGCCCGAGTCACAAGTAAACACAAAGACCGTAAACAGTGGTTTATTTCATCTTAATACTCAGTTTTCCGCGAGGTTCAATAAGAACTTTTAAACAATTCAGTTTTAAAGGGTTGACATATAAATCGTAGGCGAACTGACATATTGGACGTAGGCGAACAGACGGTAGGCGAAACGACCCGTAGGCGAGACGACCGGTTACCGAACTGACTAGCCCTTTGACTCTTGATTGATGGAGACTCGCTGAATTATTGGCCGATGAACAGACAAACCCGATAAATAACTGACTGAATGATTAGCCACCGACATCCAGTGAGCGAAAATACAGTTACTGATATCTTAGCGACAACACAAATATCGATGGTCATCGCTAACAGTATATTTGAAAAGACAACAAAAATACTAGAAGTAATTCTGAACGACTTAATTTATATGTATAGTCATGATTAAAGTGCACTGTGGCTAAACCAGTCAGAACTTTAAAACTGCACCCCTGAGTGAACCTTATTGAAAAATTTCAGTGCCTCAAGGCCCTCCTAGCAACGTGACCGGAAGTCCGACTGGCACCAACAGCATCAAACTTTCTTGGCTGCCAGTGTCGAAAGAACTTCAGAAGGGCATAATCCGAGGTTACCAGGTAAAGATTTACGATGACGAGGGAGAATATTTGCGAAATTCTACAATGCTCAGCCGTAATCTCTCCGCATCTTTCGCGGGCCTTTACCAATATTCCAACTACAGTCTGAAGGTTCGAGCCTTCACCAGGAAAGGATTTGGTCCTTGGAGTTCATTGATCAATGTTTCCATCGGTGACCCAGGTAAGCATCAATCACAGATTTTCCCGAAAAAGGGGAAGAAAATCATGAAAAAGGGAAAAATTTTCTGGCGTCTCCCCATAAACATTTTTCGTAGCATCACCACCTCCGAGAAGAGCATATTGCACGAAATTGATATCGCTACGTGAGTACTTCACAAAAGAATAGAGCTTGGTCGAGACATATTACTAGTTTCACGATAACAATCCGAAAAAAGCGTCCAGAAGCTTGGCCAATCTTGAGACGCATTTTCGGGGATCCTGGAATACCAGTGGACCTCCCTTCCCAATTTCTGAGAAATTTTTTTTCCAAAGTAGATGACATACAAATTATGCTATCATTCAGCTTTTCGAAAACGCGTGAGCTTAAAGAGTGTCGGCGGTATAAATCTAAGACATTTGGCTAACTTTTCTCGCTGCACGGTAACCAGCCCGTTGATACATAAGCAAGAGGATTAGTGCAAGTCTCTTCAAGGAAGGCGAGAGAAAATTTGTATCTGCGACCCTTCCTCCCCCAATCCTCCTCTTTGAGGCTGAAATTGAGCCTAGCTATCTTCTTAGAGGAGCAGACCAGGACACCTGAACGTTTACTCACCTAACTAAGCACTCAGCTTAAAAGAATCCAAATATTTCTCTCTTTCAGCCCCCCAAAAGACTGCTACGGACGTAAAGGCTCTAGGTACGAGCGCCTCCACAATTGACGTAACCTGGAGTCCAATCTCTGGGTTAGATGCGCAATCTGTTCAAGGTTATCGAGTTTTGCACTTCACCAGAGCTTCTCCGAGTCAAAGTAAGGTCACTGTTGTGGGCAGGAAGGACACTCGTGTCACTATAACTGGCTTAAGTCCCTTTACTGCGTACGGGGTGCAAATTGCAGCTTTTAGCATAACAGACGGTAATTACACACTGCCAGTTTACGCCCAAACGTGGGAAGGTGGTAAGTATGGTTAAAAATTAAATAATATTTTCAGTACTGAAAACATATTATATCATTTTGTTGGTCAGAAATGTCGATCAACCCGGTAAAAAGATTACCTTTTAAAACTAAAATCGTACTAATCAACCAGCTCAGAACTCCCACAAAGGATAAAAAATGACTGTAAATATATGAAAATTATATATGTGAACTGCAGATAAAGACGTGGATATGAAAGCAATCTTCTTGTGCAGTAGTAAAAATATGGCCTCAAAAAAAATCAGACTTTTACGGAATTTGAACCCATGACCTGTGCTATACCGGTGCATTGCTTTACCAACTGAGCTAGCAAGCCCACCGGGAGCTGGTCACAAAGGCTGTGATCAGTCGGGTTGACGGTCTTTCTTATTCTGAAGTGATCCACAGTTGATATCATCACCATTATGATATTATTATTTCATTTGTTATTTTTCTTGTTCAATCGAATTTTATGTTCTTGCCACCCGCACATAAAATTCATATCTTCTTTCCGTCGTGTAATATCCTCCATTTATTGGCTGAGTGGACATTCCCTAATATTTCCCTAGCGGACAGGAGCGATATCCGATCCTGCATGTGTACCATTAACAATTGCTCTTAAATCAGTTAACAAGTGAACAGTATGGTAGACTTTGGGTTCTAAGCTCGATATGCCACAATGTAGACATATGTTTCTTTAACAGGGTAACGAAAAACGCGTGTAGACAGGTTTAAAAACTTAAAGGTCTCCGCACATCTCCTTTCGAACTTCCAATGAATGACACCCCACTCCCCCTGCAGTCGTTTGGATACTAATTATTTCCGAAATTTCTTCGTAGCCCCCTCAGCACCTCCCTCCAACATCCGCGTGACTGCCTTCCATTCCCAAAGTCTCTTGGTGTCATGGCTCGACATCCCCACAGAACACCGCAATGGCATAATCAGAGGATACCGCCTGACATATGCCAACGTCAGTAACAGAACTGGCCCAGTGATAACGGAAAGAGCCTACTCAGTGGTTTTGACTCAGTTGAGAAAAGCAACGGAGTACAGAATTTTACTTTGGGCGTTTAACAGTGCTGGAGACGGGGTGTCGGGCTCAGTTGTTGCAAAGACAGGAGAAGATGGTAGGTTTAAAAATCACCACCACCCCTCCCAGCCAAAATAATTCTTCTTCTTATAGAGAGTTGAAGGAGTATTTTCACACACACACACACACATATATATATATATGTATATATATCTCGGTGTGTGTGCTATTCCTATCCCTTATTGATAGAGAAATGAAACGCAACCTGTCATGCACCTTTTCGTTCTTAGTACCAAGTCGACCGCCTTCAAAAATAGCAGCAAAAAACCACACGAGTCTTACAGAAATTCCAATTTCCTGGGAACCAGTCCCTCAAGAATTCATACACGGTCGTCATGTCGGTTACCGAGTAACTTATCAAGCTGTTTCTATTGGAGACCTGCCCGCGTATTTCGAGCCAGTGATGAGCATCGACGTTGGGAATGAGAAAACTTCAATGATACTTCGAGATCTGGAACCACTTGTAGTGTATAAAATAACTGTGGCAGCCATATCGAACCAGGGACCTGGACCCAAAGGTGTCACATTTGGAGGTAGGTGGAGATATACTTTATATATTTGTTAACCAATCCCCTTCTGACTAGTAAAACATAGGTAAGGACTTGTAATAGACCCATCCCCACCCCCACTTCCTACCTGCCTTTTATGGGTGCAACGTCCATGCGGTCAATTCCCCCTCCATCGTTCTCTGGTGAGCTATGACTATGAAGAGAAAGCCACCGCGCTAATCACGCGTGAAATTATACATAGCAATATTGCACAAACGCCTTTATTTCCGTTTCCTGTCTCCATAGAAACATGCCGTTGCCATAAGCATCTAACGACAAACTGGAGAAATTACCCTCCCTATGTCAATCTGACGTCTTTAAGCAGTCCTGGCGTTATCATACCACGCCTTCTCGAAGAAGTAATCAATGAATGCTGTGGCGAGTGCCATGCACATGGAAAATCAGAACTGGACTTCAGCCGCAGTGGAAATAATGGGACTTCGGAGCAAAACAGGTCAGAGTATCTTCTGGAAAATATTGATAACCAGACGGATTTTTCCTTTCCGATTAACGGCTACAGGTTGCAGAACAGTTACAGGGGAGGATTGGGGTATTCACCGTTTGTTGAGTCTGCTGGGGTGGCGTTTCTGACTTTCCAGGATTCCTCTGATGTGAAGCACGCCATGTTTGTAACGCTCATGGCGTGCTGGCCTGTCGTGGTGCTATCTTTGGTGATGGCTTACATTGCGGGGCTGATAATGTGGTTACTGGTGAGTTGTGACTAGTACATAATTTGATTCATATTGACACATATGCAGTGCTCTTTGTAAACGAGAAATAACATTACAAAAGTATTTCATAATATTGCTACAACACATTTTTTCTTTTCCTTTTTCTTTCTGCATTTATTCAGCTGTTTTGTTTATATATTCATTATTCGTTTTTTTATTCATTTGAAGGATACAAAATCTAACAATCAACATTTCCCTACCTCTTTTATCCACGGAACCTGGGAAGGAGTGTGGTGGGCGTTCGTATCCATGACAACCGTTGGGTATGTTTCAGATCGAGTGGTAATTGGAAATGATATAGAATACAACGCCAATACTAACTATTAGCAGGCTTAAATCGTTATATTGTCTAAATTGCATAAATCAAGCCTTTAATTCTATGACTCCATCCGCAATTTTCGTTTTTTATCCGTAGGCTAGTAAGTTAACCATTTAAAAAATGTACATGAAGATAACAGTTGTGACCTTTGGCAGTATTTTGGCGCCACACACAGCTACGTAGTGGCTGTAGATAAATTTACGATATTCAATTTTCATACAGCTAATAATGGCCAACGTTCGAGGGGACCAAGATCCATGCACACTTTGTTCCCCATACTTGGGAAAGTTTATCTTTACATGTGGTTTAAAGATTGAGCCAAAACTATGTGGGGTTTTTCATGTCTCCCTCGCAGGAAGTTTAGTCCTAGGTCTTGCCTACGTAAGGTTTACTCAGTTTCCCATGTCCCAACATATTTAAATTGTTTTTTTCTTCCTTGTAGCTATGGTGACCGTTCCCCAATCAGCCATTTGGGTCGCATTTTTGCTGTGGGTTGGCTGTTGACAGGTCTCGTCATAATCGCAATAACCATGGCGGCTTTAACAACAGCGCTGACGGAAATAACTGTACATAGCAAAACCACAATATATGGATCCAAGGTAGCTATTACCTGATTAAGGACTGATCGTTATTTGTCACCTGGAGGAGTGGGGGTGGAGAATTTATTTGGAAGGATCACACAGTTTTCAGGGGGGACGGGAGGAGATCAATCTTCGCCAACAGAGAATACTAGGGGAACTATGGAAAGTTGATGGCCAATGAGGGGTCACAAATTTCATCATGGCACAACCAAACCCCCTCTTTTCCTTCCTTAGGCAACAACAGTGACGGTCGTTAGTTCATGCAAGAGAAAATTACATTATGAGACTCTGTCCATTTAAATACCCTTGTTCCACGGATAACTTGTCTCAATATATTTGCAGAAACAAGGAATGTGCTCTCCTGGGATGCTAGAGAACTTACAAAATAATGCAAAATCTATTTTGATATTTCATTAAAATTATGATCTTTTGATTTTAGGTTGGAGCAATTCAAGGTTCTCCTGAATACTATCTTGGAATCAGACGAAATGCGATTTTAAACAAAGGTTTGAGTTAAAATCAATGTTTGGATTAACAAATATTCATTAACTTGGTAATTAGGAACTGCCATAGACTTGTCATATTTTTGACATACGAGACAAATCTTTTTTGATAGTTTTGTTCAAAAAGTTTCAATATAAACTGCCTGAAACGCTGAAAATGAGATTATATATAGTTTCGAATGATTTTTTTAGAGGACGACTCAGGTATTCTTATCAAATCACAGAGCGAAGTGAGCCAAAGTTTGTGTAATCCCACGTTATAATTGCTCTCTCGAAACTTAAATAAAAGACACCAAAGAAATACCCATGATCAACAGGTTGCACGAAGTCTTAATCAAATCTTGATTTGTATCATCACTACGACCGAGCTAAAAAGAGTCTTATCTTCTTTCTTCAGAGAAAAACTATCACTCATTAGAAGAACTCTCCGACGCTCTCATCAACAGAGAAGTCGAAGGTATCCTAGTAGATACATACGCCGGTGGAATGCGCCAAGATCTCTTTTCTAAGCCTTCAATTCGAGTGACCCAAATCGTTGATTATCAAACCGCGTATGGGGTAGTCATAAGTGGAGATTCGATGCGCCTTAGAAAGTGTTTCCATGGTTACATGCGCTCGCATCAAGCAGAGATCTTTCAATATGTTGACCAACTTGTCGAACCTATAAAGGTAAGTATGAGTTTTAGTTACGTCTTTTACTGGGCTTTATTGAGATGCTTTTTAGCATCCTTTTAATAGCTAGAAAACTGTTATCTGCCCTTAATTAGTAAGCCTAAAAGAGGATGGGATTGCTTTCTAAAAGATAATGACTTCCAACACCATCATCTGCCTTGTCCCGCTTTCTCGCTCAACCGTTATTTCAATCATCCAATGGATATAAGCAACTTTGAAAACGATTTCCTCGTTTAACTGTCTTCATATGAAACCAAAATTTACAATTCTGTTTAAGAAATACTTCGAGGCTTTAGACGGCGATTTTGAAGACGATTTTTGTTCGAAATCACAAGCCAAAATACGCACAGGAAAGATTCGCAATGCTATAAATGAAATAAAAGGACTCATATCAGCATAATGAAATCCCCCAGCGTTTTCATTTTCTTTTAACGGTAAGCATAATTTCTTTGGCGGTAATGAACAACTTAAATTGTTCTTACGCCACAGGGATCGGGACTGAGCGACAGGGAAGATATTGAAGATATCTCGACTGGTTTGTTTGACAAAGAAAGTGACCTTTATCAAAGCACACTTATCGTTATAGCCGCTTGTGCAATAACAGCTGCTGCCCTGGGGCTGCTCTTTGAAGCAATCCGGAGACTACGAGAGCGGAAAAGAGTTCACGCCTGCGGTAAGCGATAACCAGTTATACTGATTAGAACACATTTCGATTTCAAATGTTCTGAAACCAAACGCAAAATAATATTAACTACAGTCGCCAATCATAACAAAAGAAATACCTCAAAGAGAAAATGGGAACTCAAAGTAGATCCATAAAACACTTCGCTAAACGCGAAAGGAGGCGAGAAACTCATAACTCCTTAACTTTAAAGCTAAAAAAAATGTTTCATGGCTGTTAAACACGGTTTAAACGTGTTTCAATCATCAAAGCTGCTTAGATAGATATTTTTCGACGTCGAATTTAGCATATTGAAAAGGAAAGTTTGTGATTACTTGAATCCTTTGGAAAATTCAGTTTTCCAGTCACCTGTTTCTGATTTTCATTTCGTTAAACTTAACTTAACATGTTTTGCAAGTATAAATGGGTTGTGAGTCACAATCTATTTTTCTTACTTATTCTCGGTTGAGAGAGAAGGGAGGGAGGGGGGTGTGTTTCGAAACCAGCTAATTGAAGAGAATACGAAATTATAAATCCAACACAATTTAGATATATCTTCGACGCGCGCTTGGAATAGTGAGTGCTAACGCTTACGTTCTTCTTACGCTCTGTGTTTGATTTGAAACCAGGGAATTTTTTTTTTCATGTCAAAAAGAGGCTACTTAGAAAATATCTCCTCTGCCACTCCCTTCAAGACAAAAATCGTTAATAAAGTAACAAAGTTTAGCTCACCGTTCAACGTTGTTTACAGGTTTGTCGACGGTGAAGGAAAAAAATATTGATGAAATGAAGTTACTTACGGAAAAATTCGTTCAACATATGGTAAAAACTCTAACTGAGATGAAAGTAAGACACATGAGAGAGTTACTGACCTTTGCAAAACTTACGCCACAGAGGAAGACCACGAAGTTGAATCGTAAAATGACAGGTTCTGCTACGCTGAGTACCAAATACGTCGATAATATTTCGACGCTTTAAAGCCCATGATGGCTAATATCTCAAGATGTTCAGCTTACCATGCATATATTGATCTAGAATGGAGAAAAGATAAAATAAAGTGTATTACTTGGTAGACGAAAATTTGCTAGGAATAGTTGCAAGCTAATTAGAAATGAGAGTCGAATTTTTTTTTTGCTTCCTTCCATTCGAACTTCTGCAATGTCCATTTTCACCATCTTCGTTTACATCATCGTTGGGCATAAGCATTACATATTCACATTCCTATCTTCGCAGTATACAGGAAGTTTGTCACCACAGACCTAGATAAACGGCCTAACCTGTCACTAGTCTGTTATAGCTCAGTGGCAGAGCATCCGAATACTAATCTGAAGGTCGAAGGTTCGAATTTGATTCCTATTCATCCTCGTAGAGTAGATTTTAATTCAGGGCGGGAGAGTCCTGGGGAAATTTTCTTACTGGGGCTCTTTTTCCCTAACTTAAATCAACTTACAACCCTTGAGTCTCGAGAATGACTCGTACGGAGAGTATTCGGAGTTCTTTTTCTCCGATTATTTCTCTCTCATTAACTGAATAACACCTTCCTTTAGCTTTCATAAAATCAAATTAATTAGCTCTAACAGTAGTCTTGAACGTGATATTCATTACAACGTAAAGAGACAGAACAACAAAACCTAGTTTGAAAACTGATGTTTCAGCATACATCGAAGATGCTCTTGAAAGAATGTATCGTTACATCGAATTCAGTTATGACGTATTTAGTAATAGATATTTCAGGAAAATCGTTCTCCTCGTTCCTGTTTCTTAGGTACCCATATATACGGATGTAGTTTCTATATATCTTTCGCTTAGAACATTAAAAGTAATATCGTTTTCAATAAAACAGAAGGAGAACAGTTGCTAACATAAACGGATTTTGTCCCTCTATTGAAGTAATCCTGTTAAGGTTTTCTGTAGATCATTCCAATGTGAGGAAAGGTGTTATTGGTCTGCATTGTATGTTAAAAGCAGACAGTGGCGAGAACGATAGATTACCTCTGAGGCTGAAGCTTAATTCAAGAGTAGACTGAGGCTCAACAGAAATCTTTCCCTGTCCTTCTTTTATTTACCCAATGTCGAAATAAGGAATCGACGGTGAATTTTTTTTTAAACAAGTTCCAACCCCTCGAGTCACACTTACTGGCTAACCCCCGGTTCAAACCATTTACTGTTTTAGCACTTCCGGTTTCGACGGCACGTCATGAACTTCAAGCTTGCGCAGAATCATGGTCTAGGGGACTCCCCCTTTTATTGCAAACAGAAACCAATACTTAAACAATAGCAGAGTCGGCACGTTTGCTGCTTCTAATTGCAATTTTTCGTTCCATAACATACCTTTCGAGTCTTATTTGGTACTTTATCAGTTATAGTGACTTTTATTAAGACATCTGTCTAGCAGATTGAGGAAGCAAGGTCTTAACACAGTCAAACGTCGCGTCCTTTTCGAATTACACTACAAATCTACAGGTATAAAGTAGAATTTAGTCCTTGCAAATTGATTCTTATTCTGTCATTGTCAAGATTGTCATTATAAGATTTATTTGAGGAACTAACTACCACTGTTATTGTGATCACATGTCAGACTTGTTAGATTCACTTAAATGAAGCGTATTGAAATTACTGAGAGTACAATCTTAGAAACGAACACAATGACTATTAATTGCATAGTGAATAGACGAGAGAATTATTTCTCAAGCGTATTTACATTGTACTTAGACTTGCTTAAGAGTTCATTTATATTCGATTTGCTGAGCTATATTTCTTCCGATCCGATAAAGTATTGTGAGTAGTGAGACCGTAGAATATAAACGTTGTGCTACAGTGCCGAAGGGTATTAGCTGTTTCGTTCAACCAAAAGGGGTTTGAAAATTTTTAATGTTTTATCAAAAACTCACTCATTCACAGTTAAGGTTTGAGAAAAAACTAAAGCAAAAGGATATAGGGCTTCTATCTTTCTTGAAAGATAGATAGATCCTGTTAAAAAAAAAAAAATTGTGCTTAAAGCCTGCCCTAGTATAATTTTAGAAATTCTGAATGTATCTTATTCAGATTTTAGGTTTTATATTACACTGAGATGCAGAGGCCACGATGTGCAGGTAGGCCTGTTGTGTGGTCTAAAGCTTCAGATTTGCTGTATCCCAGCTGTTTGAGGGGAAATAATCGTAATATCAATCTCAATTTTGCATATTTTAGTAACTACCATTTGTGTTGCTCTTGCAGTTAGTTTACCTTGTGTAGGTTTGACTATTATGTGACGTAGGATTGGCAAATAGGCCTGCAGAGTTTAAACTAATTAAGCTTGTTTAACGTCACTGTATTAACGTGTAAAGTTGGATTTTCTTGGAATAATATTTAGTACAACTGCTCACTATATCAGTCATAGCTTTTGATTAACCCTTTTACTCCCGCGATCTCAATGGAAACTCTCTTCTCATTTGATTAGAAATCGTTTGTGTATTTGTTCGTTATTTTTATCAAACTAATATGCCCTGGTTTACATACATACATACACCCATGCATATACATATATATTCATGTAACATATATATATATGTGTGTGTGTGTGCGTGTGTGTGTGTGTGTGTGTGTGCGTGTTTGTGTGTGTTTGTGTGTTTGTGTGGGGGGGGAAAGGGGGGTATTGTTCAACTTTGACTTCAAAAAATCTGTTCCGTGACACTTTGCAAAAAGCAGTAAAAAAGTTGAAAGGCACTTAGCAATCTTTCGTCTATTCGGTAGGATCCTGCGATTACCAGCATCTAGTACACGGGTACCCAAGACCTTTACAATAATAATAGTATAATACTGTAGTTTGATCGTCCGGGTGAGTGTAGTCCTGAGAAGGAATGTTGTCGGTAATGGTGACTGACGTTTCGACAACCTGAGCGGAAGTCATCATCAGAGTCAAGTGAAAGGTTGTTGTCAGTCGAATGTACTGCGTCCGGTTTGTATAAACTGATTGGTCAGTTTTGCCGTGATGTTACTGGCTGTAAGACTCAAGTGGCGTGGGTCAGTCGTGATTGGTCGGTTTGGATTCGTCAGTGAAGTTAGGTCGTTCTATTCGGTTCGTTGGTAATGTTAATGTTAATGTCGTGAATGAGTCGTTTGTATGGTGCCGGTAGTGGTTGACATCTTTTGAGGGGAGTCTGTTCCAAGTTAGTAAACCAGCTTTCCAGGGTCAGTCGTTGAAAGTAGTTGGTGCTGTATGTTAGGCATTGCGCAGAGTCCCAGTCAATAGTGTGGCTCGTAAGTCGGTGATGTTCAGCAATGTGATTGTTGACATCGCCTTTCCTCGTCGTTCGTTTGTGTTCAGTCCGTCTAGTTGTGAGTTTTCTGCTAGTCTCACCGATATAGAAGGCGTCGCAGTCGGAGCAATTGATCTTATATACTGCTCCTTGTCTGTTCTTCGGTTCATCTTTGTCTTTAACGTTAGTCAGTAACTGATGACGTAGTGTGGTAATAGGTTTGTGAACGACGCGGATATTGAATCGTTGTAGGATGAGCGAGATGTTCTCAGACATTCCCTTTATGTATGGTACAGTTTCTGTGGTCGTAGGAGTTGCATCGTCATTAGCTTCGGTAGCAGTAGTAGGTCTGTGAGGGTTGCGTTGGATGAAGTCTTCGTTGTAGTTGTTCTTTGAAAAAACACCGTTAAGGTACTTGTTCTCGTCGGATAAGCTGTCTGTCGTATTGTATACTAGTTGCGCTCGTCGGGTAAGAGTCCTGATAGTAGTGGCTTTGTGTGATGTCGGGTTGTAGGATGACTCGCCCAGTAATCTGTCGGTATGTGTCGGTTTCCTGTAAACTGTTGTCCGTAGTGAGTTGTAGTCACGGCTTACCAGGCAGTCTAGAAGGGGTAGTTTACCATTTTCTTCGACCTCTCTAGTAAACTGTATGTCAGTGCTTTGGTCGTTAAGGTGGTGGTGGAATGCGTCGTTTTCGTCGTGTCGTACGGCGGTGAAAGTATCGTCAATGTAGCGTAACCAAAGTGGTATCGTCTGTCGGCAAGTCGAAAGGGCGCTTTCCACGATGTTCTTCATCACAATTTCTGTTACAACAACAGAAACTACGGGACTACACTCACCCGGACTATCAAACTACACTATTACATGTTACCACCGAGTTCAAACCATTTACTGTAATAATAGTAGCAATGAGAAATAACGATTTAGAGATATCATCTAAAAGTTATCAACACCATTAAGACTTTAGTGTAGCCTTTTTGATTGAGTATCTTGGAACAACAACAACAAAAACAGCAAAAAGGAAATCAAAATATGATAACGCAACACAATAGCCAATAGCCGACAACAAGCATGATAGAGAGCGCGTGTTTCGATTGAGTCTGGTAAAACCAAGACCAAAGTAATTACAAGGGTCCATCAGAAAGAAGGAAATATCAGAAGATGCCGATGAAAACTCGAGGTATAAACAGATTAATGCGGGATGATCTAATGCGGGAATGAAAAGGAAATAATGTAATGAAGTCGTGTTTGGTTTTAGTTTTGCATTTGATTGGTTGATAGATTGTCGTGAATGTCTTAGACCACACACAAGGAGAAGTGAAGCAAAGCTAATGCAATCCCCGAATAAAGACGGTGAGTTTCTATAGAGCCCTTAGTGCTGCGTTGGTGAGGGATATCACAAGATTATTTGGTTTTATGGAAATCGGTCTCCGTAAAGAGTTGCTAAAGCTGAGGTTTCGAGTGTTAGCCCTTGTTAGAGTCTACGCAATACCCGATTGCTTTCGTCAACCAATTTGCCATTTTAACCGCAATTGCTTTTTGATTGATTGAGTTTACATCATGAAATAAAAGGCCAAAAATGAAGCGAAAGTGGGTTTTTTTTTTAACTTTTTCAAATAAAATAAGACGCTCCTGTATTATTTCTGACACTTAAAGTACGCAGAGCCTCATAAGCGTCTGCAAGTAACTCGATCTCGGAGATCTTAACGGGAAAATGTACACTCAGATATGATTTTTGAAACCCCAGCCTCTATTTAACTGGTTCATCCGTTCTTTTAAATTCGGGGATACGTAAAGACTCTCCCAAACCTGATTTCTGATTTCTCCTCACGATTTCACCCTCGAATCAAACATTAAGGTCATGAGAATAAAGGAAATGATCACCAATTTCAGAAGCTCCTGATTGTCAATAAAATTCTCCTTGTCAGTGCCATATGAAATGGAAAGAGAAAAGTCAGGGGTGTATGAATATCAATGTTAAGGTGTGAAGGGTTAAATAAATGAATATCCAAACACCGAACTTTGCTCCTTTTTAATCCTTTCTTTGCTTCTTAGTGCCATTTCTTAATCATTAGAATTATTAAGTACTGTTACAAAATTGAGTCTAAGTGCTGTGTTTCTTACTAAAGCTGAAAAAATTGAGACACTTTCTTCTTTATATTTCCCCATATCACTGGAGCGTTGACCTTTATTTCGTCCGAATGTTGTAAGGTGGGCCTGAAATGTGAGAAAATTTATCAAAATTAGAGATCGATATGGAACTGGAAATTTATCAAGAAAAGAAAATTTAAGTTAGCGCAGGTTTCATTCATGACTTCCTCCTAAGTAGCTCACCTGTGGGTCTGAAATAAAAAAAGAAATAAAAAAAAAAATCGGAAGGAAGGGGTCTTATTTATCTTATTCATCTTAACCTCTGATTTTTGTTTTTTATAAATTTCCAGTCATTACCAGACTAATGGTGTGTGAATGGACGGATGGATTAGTAGATGAATGGAAGGATGGATGGATGGATGGATAGATAAACAACGGGGGTGGTGTGTGGGGAGTTTTAAGAGTGAGGCACCACACTCCCAAACTCTCCGTGGCGCGCAAACTTAATTTTTTTGTCTCGCTGAAGTTTTTGGAAACGCTCAACAGACTTCTCCGAAAGGAAGGACTGTTTGTAGTCTACAGCAACAACTATAACAATTATGTTTACCAAATTTCTTTTGATAATGGACACGACGCGCCAATTCGGTGGGCCATTGTTCCCCAATCCACCACTGATGTCCACACTCGATTTGCCATTGTTACGTTCATAACTACCACTGATGCTTCAATTGCCTCGACTATAACCACCACCGATGCGCCAGAGTCGTTTACCATTAATGCCCCAGTCAACTATTTTTTTGTGCTCCGCTGACACTAGCATCCATTGATGACCGACCAACATTGCTGCCCCAACCACTTTGTGGAGCGGAGTGGTTAAGAGGTATTTCTGCAAAGGTAAGTGATAACGTTTGAAATTGTCATTGCTTTATTTATTTTTTTTGAAGATCAAAAAATTTGAACTGTTTTCTAACAACAAAGAACTAATGATTTTTTCTGAGTTTTTCTTCTGGCCCGCGCGAGTTACGTACAATTTTGGAACACTCATATCTATGCATCAAACTCACTCCAGTGCAGTGCTTTTAGAAAGGAGGTTTATCTCAGCCACATTCATAGATCGAATTTTTCTTCTACAAATCCAGAAGAATTGAAAACTGCACTTAATCGACATGTGAGTGTGGGTGTGTGTGTGGGGAGTATTGTTCAACTTTGACTTTAAAAAATCTGCTCCGTGACACTTTGCAAAAAGCAGTAAAAAGTTGAAATGCACTTAGCAATATTTCGTCTATTTGGTAGGATCCTGCGATTACCAGAATCTAGTACACGGGGACCCAAGACCTTTTAATTAAAATGGTCTTGTCAATAATAGTAGTAATGAGAAATAATGATTCCGAGATATCATCTAAAAGCAACAAAATAAGAAACACAATGGCCAACAACACAATAGCTAATAGCCGACAACAAGCATGATAGAGAGCGCGTTTTTCGGTTGAGTCTGGTAAAACCAAAACCAGATCTAGAGTAATTATAAGGGTCCATCAGAAAGAAGAAAAAAAATCAGAAGATGCCAATGAAAACTCGAGATATAAACAGATTAACTGTCTAATGCGGAGATAGGATATCGGTGAGGGATATCAGATGATTAATAGGTTTTATGGAAATCGATCTCCACAAAAAGTTTGTAAAGCTGAAGTTTCGAGTGATAGCCCTTCGTCAGAGTCGACGCAATACCGGATTACTTTCAACAACCAAGTTACCAATTTAACCGCAATTGCTTCTTGATTGATTCAGTTTACATCATGAAATTAAAGGCCAAAAATAAATCAACAGTTTTTTTTTATACCCGTTAAAACAAAATAAGACACTCTTGCATTATTTCTGACACTTAATTAAAAATTACTTCAGATGTGAAAATAAATGTCGTTATATTAACGCTATGAACATGATAGTTCATCTGAAACACCCAAAGCTCTTGTGGTAGAAAATTACCTTCGTTTTCAGCGCGGCTTTTTCCTCATTTTTCAAGGGAAATGAATTCGCCACCGCTAGAGTAATTAGCAGGATAACGAAGCGCTTCATATTCTTTTTATGAAAACTAAAATCATAATAAAACACGTCAGATGAGTAATCACTTATATCCAGTGGGTATTATTGAAGTATCCAGGACTATGTGATCATCTATCCTGAGTTTTACTTATGGGGAAGACACCCCTTTTGGTGATGCTCTGCGCTTTCAAAACACTAAATGCAAATCGATTTCCCGGAAATATGGAACATTGGGATCCCTAAAAAAGCTTCCAGGGATAACTTTAAACAGACCGATATCCCAGGTGAAAGCAGCGGCAACATTCTTGGTCGCTTTGTCCGAATAGAGTGGTTAAAATTTAACTCATGATTTTAAACTATAGGCTCCAAGAGGTTACTTAAGTCACAGAATTAGTACCAAATTCTGATGTGGCTGACTACGGCGAAATTAACTAATAATTTTCAAGAGGCTTTATTTAATGAAGTACTATTCCCCCCCTTATTGCAAAGTTGTATCCTTAGGCCGTAACAGTTTTCCAACACACAACCGTTTAGACCAAATAAGAGCCTCCCTTTTAGATCACGAGAGAGTAATTTATATGCTCATTACTCCTCATTTGGCTTTTTGTGTTTTTTATTTCTATTAGCTCTTTTCCGTGGCAACGTTTTTAAAATTAGGTTGTGTAATGATTCAAGGCCAGATAAAGTTTTTTTTTTTAATTATTTAACCTTACTGTGGCAGAGACAAAGCTGTTTACCTTTGCCAAGTCAATAATTCGTCCTACCAGCTCACGATACACCATCCTCAGTTTTCTTTTTAAAGTGCAATTTATAACAGACTAACAGCACACTTCTGTTTACATTCAAATCATGCAGGGTTCATACGGTTTAGTATATACCTCGAAAGTCATGCAATCTTATAATATCATTTTCAAGGCCTGGGAAAGTTTAAAAGTGGACGAGTCCTAACATTGATATACGACATGTGTCTGTCTTCTGTCGCTTTTTGCGCCGAAATTGTGCAGAAGTTGCGAAAATTGTAAGTTCGCTTCACGCACTTTTTTTTTTTGTGCGGGATCAAATCAGGGAAGATGGGCCCATCCTTGCCGCTCAGGCAGCCAATCAGGAAACAGGATTCGCTTCATATTTCCCACGGGCGCTGCCAGCTATATAATAAACACGGTTATTAGCCAGTTATAATTGCCTCTAAACCCTGATGAAAAACCATTTTCATCAGTTTAATTTTTGTCGAGGGGCATGATTGTGTATAAACCTTAAAGTATGCAGAGCCTCATAAGTATTTGCAAGCAACTTTCGGAGATCTTAACGTGACAATTTACACTCCGATTCATATTTGAAACCTTAACCTCTGTTTAAGTTGTTCATCCGTTCCTTTAAATTTGGAGATACGCAAAGACCCTCCCAAACCAGCACTAATCCTTTGCCACTCAAGGTGACTGGTTTCTGATTTCTTTTTACGATTTCACCCTTGAATCAAACATTAAGGTCATGAGAATAAAGGAAATGATCACCAATTTGAGAAGCTCCTGATTGTTAATAAAATTCTCCTTGTCAGTGCCATATGAAATGGAAAGAGAAAAGTCAGGAGAATATAATATCATTTGTCAGGTGTGAAG